CTGAGGGGGGGGTCAGTTGATGTACTCCTCCTTCCAGGTGGGGCTGGGGATGGGGTTGGGGGTCTCAGGGGGTTGGGGGGGGGTCAGTTGATGGGCTCCTCCTCCCAGGTGGAGGTGGGGATGGCACTGTAGGGATCCACCACGAGCCGGGCACAGCGCACGCTCATGGCGAGGAGGAAGAGCCCCAGGAGCACCACGAAGGCCGTGGCCACGGCCTTGTCCACGTCCAGGGCGGGTGGCACCGGGGGGCTCTCCATGCAGGGATCCTCAGGTGGGGGTGTCCTGGCTGGAAGGGACCCCCAGGTGTGTCCCAGGAACCCTCAGGTGTGTCCTCAGGCTCCAGGGACCCTCAGGTGTGTCCTCAGGCTCCAGGGACCCTCAGGTGTGTCCCAGGAACCCTCAGGTGTGTCCTCAAGCTCCAGGGACCCTCAGGTGTGTCCCAGGAATCTGGAGAAATAAATATGGATATCTACTTAAATATTTCTTAAAACTGGTGTTGATATAATAATTTAATATTATAATATTCAATATTACTTAATATTTCTATCATTGCTATATTATAAATCAATATATTCTATATATTATAACATGTAATGTATTCTAGTATACCATACATATTTTAATGCTTTATAGATAATATAATACAATGTAATCATGTATTTTAAGATATTACATATAGTATTACTAATGCATTATTTGGTATTATAATTTAATTTTATAATAAGTCAATAATTAAAATATTTGTCATAAATATTTGTTTTTATTTAAATACATGTGTTTATTTAAATAAACACAGATATTTATTTAATTTATTAACGTGTTTATGAAGCCAAAACATGTGCCAGCCCTGGGTGCACCAAGGATGGCAAACAAATCCACGGGCCTAAATTATGGGATTGTGGAATTGCTGAGGTGGGAAAAGACCCCTCCAATCATCCAGCCCAGCGCTGCTGGAAAAGCCCACCCTTTCCACAGAGGAATTTTCCCAAATATCCAACCTAAACCTCACCTGGAGCAGCTAGAGAGCTTTTCCTCTCATCCTGTTGTTCCCTGGGAGCAAATCCTGAGCCCACCTGGCCCCAACCTCTTTCCAGGGGGTCTCAGGGAGGGGGAAGCCCCTGGATCCGACCCCCATCCCACGGAACAGCTCCGTCCTTACCTCCCCAGGGTCCCTGTCCCGGCCCCTCCGGCTCCAGGATGGCTCCAGAGCCTCATGAATTCTGCAGGAATGCGCCGGCATCACCTTTCAGACGCTCCCAGCGCCCGGGGAGACACAACCAGAGGATTGAATTCCCACCCCACACCCCCTTCTCCCATCGGGACGAGGCTCCAGGGGCCATTTCAGGTCTTCCTTGGGGCGTGGGGTGGTTTGGGAAGTGCTGAGGAGGATTTATCCCAAAATACAGCAAGAACCAGGTCTTCCCAGTCTGGGAGAGGATTTTGAGCTGGCTCTTGTCTTACTTTAGAATAAACCGGGAGAAACTCTTGGAAAATGCATTGAACTGAGCTGCCTGTTTGGTTCTTGCAAAACAGACTCGTGACAAGACCCAAAACACCCAAATTACCCGAAAATGTCCCTTGAGTCCCCCTATTTTCCCCCTCCAAGAGGAAAAATGGTCGCTTTGGGAAGACAGTGACATTTTGTTGCCCCGTGAGTGTCCCCGGGTTGGGGGGGGGGACTTTCCAGAGATTTTTCAGCAAAGGATGAGTTTTGGGGTCCTGTTGATGCCCCCCAAATCCCGGTCCTGACCCAGAATCCTGTTCCAGTCCCAGTCCCAGTTCCAATCGAAACTCCATGTCATCTGAATCCTCACTCCCTGCCTCACCCCAATCGCAGTCCCAATTCCCACCCCAACCTAATTCCAGTCTAAACCCTAAACTCCAGTCTCAATTCCAACCCTAATCCCCATCCCAAACTGAACCGGAACTCCAGTCCCAACCCTAATCCCAGCCCCAGTTCCCACCACACTCTGATCCCAGTCTAAACACTAATTCCCACCGCAGTCCCAACCCCATTCCCCATCCCAGTCCCAACCCTAATCCCAGTCTCAATCCCAACCCCAGTCCCCAGCACGTGACGTCACCAAAATAAACCCCGCCCTTCACAGTAACCACGCCCCAAAGAACCCGCCCTCCATAAACCCCGCCCAATTAGGGGCGGTGCCCTGTATGGCTCGCCCCGCCCCGCTGCCTGCGCTGTCGCTTTCGCCCCGCCTCCAGCCCGACTTTCAGACCAATAGCAGCGCCGCGTCCCTCCTTAGCCCCGCCCCCAACCCCTCGCTGGACCAATAGAAGCGCCGCGTGGCGCTGGCCCCGCCCCCGGGGTGGTGGGGCTGCGAGGCCGGCGGAGGTTTTCCTGCGCCGCCATCTTGGTTCGGCGGAGCGGAGCGAGGAGGGGGCGGCCCGGGATCCCCGCCATGGCCGCCACCGCCGCCGGCGCCGGTGAGCACGGCTGCGGGGTCCGCGAGCGGCCGGGGAGGCCTGAGGGGCGAGGGGAAGATGAGGGGGGGCTGAGGGGGTGCGTGGGGAGCTGAGGGGGGGGCCATGGAGGTCCGAGGGGCGAGGGGAAGCTGAGGGGTTGCGTGGGGGTCTCAGGGGTTGCGTGGGGCTTTCAG